ACAAAACGGTTATTCCAATAATTAAAAAGTTTGGACAACAAAAGTTATATTAACGAGCTTCGCTGAAGATAATTCAATATTCCCTAGAGCTAAATGCATTATGGCAAGTTCAGAGTGATCAGCGCTCAATACGCGATGCTCGGCGCCAATCGCGTAGTGGTTATGCTGTTAGTCACCACATCTCCTACATTTCTATAAATACTAAAATCAAAACAATTTAATTACAAAACGGAATTACATTTTTATATTTCAATATATTATTATATTGTATCTGAACTTATTAAATAAATATACTTTAAATAAAAAACCTTTAATCATTTGTACACACAAAGAAAATTATTCACATGTGAGTTATTCAAGTATTTTATATATACGAAACAAATCTGTTTAAAATTTGAATGAAATTAGTCAGAATAAAAACCGACGACTGAAGACTCTCTCGGTTCAAGTGGCGTTCGAATAAAAATCACTAGATGGACGCGCGCACGTATGTATTCAAAAATACATTCACCCACCTTACTACTACTGATTCTGTGTTTGACAGTACGCGCGTATTTCGCGGCTATCATCGAATTTGGCCGACGTTAACCGATGTTTAACGAAGCCTGCAAGTTCCGTGTGTGTTAAGTGTTCGTTGGTGTTCAGTTGGTGCGCCTCGACTGGGCAAAATCGCGTAAAATGGAAACAGAATTTCGTTGTGAGGTTGAGGTTGGCCGTTGAAAAAAGTGAACATGGGAAGGTCCAAGTTTCCCGGGAAGCCGCCGAAGACGGTCACCAGGAAACGGATCAAGGTCCTCGGCCAGCCCGAGACAGTCCAAACCGATTCGGTAACCGTCGCCGAGAACATCTACTACGGACTTTCCCTGTTCAACGAAACATTTGGTGACAACGAGAAGGTAATTCCTAGTTTACTTTCGTAATGAGTATCTACTTGAAGGCGCCTAATTAGAGTCATGCAAGAAATGAATCCTTCTCAGCCTACAAACAACCATATTTATTTTATAAGCATGTTAGCTACCTATACGCCGCCGATTCGGTGGCCAGAAAAACTCGGAGATTTGGCTGTATAACGAAGGTTAACCTATTGGAAGGGAATCGCAGCCTCGGAATGGCAGATGTGTATAATATGTACTGACGTATCGCTATAGCTGCAAGTGTCAGTGACTTCGTGAAAGATACTGCTCTGTTCTTGTTTTTATTTTGTAAACAGTATTTAGGCGATTCTCTTATCTTTCAATGGTTTTAGTACAGAATAAAAGTTCAATGTGTTATTATATTACAATATACTTTTAAATGATTGTAGACTTCATCTTGTGTACTCAAATTCTTATGTACAATATTTGAGAAAATATTTTATATACTGGAATCTAAAAATATTATGTATAAAAAACGAATTGATGCATTATTAATATACATATATATAAATATATATATATTTCTTTTGTATAGGAACATCCACCATTCCATGGTTTTAGCACTAAAGAGGCTAATCTTTCCGTGTCTTACATCAAAACGCAACAACATGACACAGAAAAGGCAACTGTTAAATCATCACCTGATGCTATTGAAAATTCTGTATCAAAATCAAATGAACAAGCCACGATCACAGATATTAAAAATTTTCCTTCGAATACTGAAACTAATGTAGAACTATTATGCGATAAAATCGAGGAACCAGTAGAGGACATTAAGAAAGATGTGACTGTACTTAATTCTAAATGTGCTTCTAAATTTCACAGACCTAAAAATCGCAGAAGTTGCAAAAATATTAAGTTCTCCAATTTCATGAAAACACCAGTATTGAAATCAGTGAACAATATCTTGGATCAGCACCAGCGAACAAGACAGTTGCGTAACAGTACTGCAAAAAGGTTACTACAGAGGGCAAAATCTAACAGTAATAATGTACGCAATATCACAGCGCAATGTGGGGATAAACCAAACACGGTAAGAAAATTTATTTTACCAGTTCGAAGTGCCCATTCGTCGAGAGTTATTAAGCCAAATAAAAGGTTTATCGAAGAATTGGAAGAGATTTCTGGTGTAGAACCTAGTGAAAATGAAGTTGGTATGCACATGAAGAAAGCTAAATTTACGTTAAACAAGATTTGTAATCAAGAATCAAAATTAAAGGATGGAAATCTTAATAAATTATGTACAAAATTGAAAGATAAGGATGTAAAAAATAAGAGTAAGAAAGTAAGTTCCAATGCCCAAACTGTAGTATCATGTGCAAAAACTTGTGAAAAATTAACAACTTCTGTACAAGACGCACAAATATCAAAAGCTAATAATACAGATATAAAGAAGACTAATGTATCGAATAAACACAAAGTGATAAAAGCTACATCAAGCGAGTCTAATAGTACTCATGATTCTTCACAAAATACAATTAGAAAAACCCAAAATTTCAAATTAAATGTATCTAAAAGTCAAAAATCAGTTTCTGTTCCTATGAAAGTTCTTCCTGATTCCAATGTTCCAAGTTCAGAGTCTTCCAGGATTCAAACAAGGTCAGGAACTCAAAGTGAAGTCGCTGGTCTAGAAGTTCAAGCAAAATTCGAGGATACTGCAAAAATTAAGGAAACCAGTGGGAAAGGTCAAGATAATTCTAATAATAGGGCTAAAATTACAGAGGGAAATTCAGATAATTTTGACACAGAAAGTACATTGTCTGAAAGTGGAAGTGAACACAGTAATCATACCGAAGATGAACAGTCAGAATGGACTGGAATGAAATTGAATGGTGGAAAAGTGATTTTGAGAAAAGCAAGATTAAAATTAGATAACAAGTGTGTTGGTGGAACTGAAGGACCCTTCTCGACAACAAATAATAATAATAATAATGTTGCTAGTGGAAATACTAATTTGGGTATGCATTTAATATTTTTCTTTTCTTTAATTTACTACTAACATTATAATAAACAGCAATAAATTGTATCATAACAATATTCTTGTTTTGATAATGTTTTAGGATTAACAGGTACTATTAAGTGTGGTGTATGTGGGGCTGTACGGTTTTATCGATTTGTAAAACAAGCCAGAAAATTTGGCATTCACAGTTGTGAATCTTGTCGAAAATTTATTAGCAAAATGATTAAGCGACAGGCTTGTGCAAAATCTACAAACAGTACTCTTCCAATTCTACAATGCCATAAGGGAGATGGTTTATGCTTAGTTCCACCTGTTGTAAGAAGTCAGCAATGGAATCTCATGAGATGTGTTTACAAAGCTAGATGTCCAGCATGTTGGTTAAAAATGTGTTTGAAGTGTTACAACATTCCTTCCTCATTAAGAATGAGTTTAAATGCATTACTACCACCGATGATGAGAGATCCTTTGAGTATTCCTTTATCATTGAGTCAACAAGATAACGATAGTCAAGGACAAAAATTGATATCTTCTAAATTAGGTTGGCCTGCAGAAGACAGCTCAGAAAAGAACTTATTCAAATCAGCTATGAATTGGAGAAATATAGAAATGGGTCAGAAAACCAGCTGTCAAGGTACTGGTGGTTTTCTATACACAAAATTAGACAAATGTAAGTTATTATTACGTTTTTCTTTAATAATTATTCTATCTAGATATTTGTATATACGTTCAATCATTGTATGTCTTTCTAGTCGACTCATCACTAAATATATCACCTAGTAAAAAGAGAAGAAAAAACAATAGGATAAAAGTAAGGAAGAAAATTAAAAATCCAATGTTCTCCTCACCACCTATAAGTCAATGTCCACAACCCCTTAGACAGAGACTTGAATTAAAAGGGCCAAGAGTAAAACATGTTTGTCGAAGCGCTAGTGTTGCACTTGGTCAACCAATAGCTACTTTTCCTTCTATAGAAGGGAAAGAAGATACTGAGAGCAATAAGCACATTCCGAAAACGCAGAAGGAAAGTGATAGGTCAGAGAAGAAAGATTGTGCTAAAGAGAAAGAACCGGCAAAACATAATGATGAAAATATTACAAGTCAGAGTACTGTCAACGCAACTCAACAATCCAACCTGAAAAGAGGAAAATCTCAGCAAAGCATTTTAACATCTAATTTACAAGCGGTAAGCCATTATAAAAATAAAATACATCTTAAGGTTAAGCACAACATTCATAAACATTTTTCTTTTAATACCTATAATTTTTTAATTTAAATGTTTATAGGTATCTAAACCAAATAATGATACAGTGCATACAGTATCTATAGATTTCTGGGAACAGTATGATCCCTCAGAAGTTGGTGCAAAAGGTTTTGCCCTTATTGGTTCAGAACTCTTCCATATTCCTGCTATCTGTTACCTTTGTGGAAGTGCTGGAAAAGAGCCAGTAAGTAATATGTGTATGTATATTAATATTTATGATTGTACATTGTAACAATCTTTCCAGCTCATCCATTGTCAATGCTGTTGTGAGCCATATCATGCCTTTTGTTTGGAACCCAGTGAATGGAATGCTTGTGCCCAACCAAACTGGTGCTGTCCTCGGTGTACAATATGCCAATCCTGCCATCTAAGATCTGGTCCAAAATTGTCTTGCATTCGTTGTCGTCAATCATTTCATCATTCGTGTTTGTCGAAATCTGGTGTTAGTGCAAGACTTTATAATCCTGAAAGACCGTTTGTTTGTCAAAGTTGTGTCAAGTGTAAAAGTTGTGGTAGTGAAGGAGTTAATGTTCATGTGGGCAATTTACCATTATGCTCCATGTGTTTTAAATTGCGTCAACAAGGAAACTATTGCCCTCTGTGTCAAAGGTGTTACAACGAAAATGATTTTGATACAAAGGTGAGTATAAATTCGTATATGCGTATATACATATATTTTTCTTAACTTATATAAATTTATATAACAGGTGAATGACTACATTATATCATGAAAATTTTGTGTGACATTATGTTTATTATAATGTAGCCTCCCAAGTTATGTTAGCTTTTATTTGGTGTTTTGAAGCGCTATTTGTTAGTTTTAATAATTTTGTACTTTTCAGATGATGGAATGTAGCGAATGCTCTTATTGGGTGCATGCCCGTTGCGAAGGACTTTCAGATGAGCGGTATCAAATTCTTAGTTATTTACCTGATTCTATTGAATTCACATGCAGCCAATGTTCCTCTAATCCTGATTCAGTTTGGAGAAATGCTATAGAGGCTGAACTTAAAGCCGGTTTTATAGGAGTTATAAAATCATTAAGTAAAAATCGAAAAGCTTGTGCTGCTTTAAAATGGAGCCCAAGAAAGGAGTGTTTGTGCAGACCTATTCCAAATACAAGGAAATTAGAGTTTTCAAATGAAAAGACAGATTCGAGTACGACCGGTAACAAAGAAATTCTCAACTCTGAAGAATCCGAAGAATCTAACAATGAAAAGGTTAAAGATGCAGAATCTGGTTCTAATAATAACTCAAAATCTGATACGACAAATAAAACAAACGATGATCAACCGGCTGATTGTTCTAACAGAAGAGGTTTAAGACGACTTCGTCAGAAGTTTCATCTTAAAGAATGTTCTGTTAGAGTTAAAAACTGTGCTCTAAAGGATAATCAAGACAGTGATAAAAAGGATTCAGTAGCTCAAGAAAATACAAATAGTAATTCAAATGACACAGAATGTCACTGTTTGGACCAGCAAATCTTAGTTAAACCTTCACCTACACTAATGTCAGTGAAACGTAAAGTTAATAACAATGAATACAAAACGTTATTACAGTTTCATATTGATATGGGACATGTAATTAACGGTACTGGAACTAAAGAATTGATTGACGCTTATCATGAAATTTTACGAGAGGTATTTCCATGGTTTAGTCCGAAAAGTATTAAAAACTGTAACGGAAAAGTTAACAACATGTTAACTCCTTTTAAAGATGATAAACAAGATGACAGCTGTCATACGAAACTCGACGATTCTATATTAGAAATATGGAAGGATGAAGTAATGAAAGCACCAAAAGCAATCGCGGCTAAAACAGCAAACTTGTATAACGTTAATGTCGAAGATAGTAGATCATGTTGTTTGTGTAAAGGTTTAGGTGATGGCCAGGAGACAAAGGAAGGACGATTGTTGTATTGTGGACAAAATGAGTGGGTACATTCGAATTGTGCACTTTGGTCAAATGAAGTATTTGAAGAAATTGATGGTTCTTTACAAAATGTTCATAGTGCTATCTCAAGAGGTCGTTTAATACGTTGCACTGAATGTGGAAAAAAAGGAGCAAGTGTCGGTTGTTGTGCGAAAAATTGTAGTAATACTTATCATTATCCTTGTGCAAGAAACATTGGGCTTGCTTTAAATTATGATAAAACAGTATTTTGTTCTTTGCATTTGAACAACTGCTCACATAAAACATTACAAAATGAGAATGATTTTAGCTTAAGAAGACCAGTATATGTAGAACTGGATCGTAAGAAGAAAAAATATGCAGAGCCAAGTAAAGTAAAAGTTATGATAGGTTCTCTAATGATCGATTACTTAGGTACAGTTATACCAGAGTATTCTGATACAATTGAAAAAATTATACCTTGTGATTACAAATGTTCTCGATTATACTGGTCTACAATAAATCCATTTAAAATTGTTAGATATTACATCAGAACGTATGTACAAGTATATGTACCAGACATTTCACCTGATTTAGAGAATAACATAACAATTGATCACTCTAAGGAACAAGAAAGAGAGAATCTGTTAAATATGCAGAGAAATGAACTTTTAGCCGTGAAACAAACACTAGATAGTCTGATCGATACAGTCTGTAACAAGGAAGTTGATGAAAATCTGGCAGAACAAAATAATACAGATCTTCTACCTCCAGAATTAAAAGAAGCCATATTTGAAGATTTGCCGCATGATTTGTTAGATGGTATTTCCATGCAAGATATAATGTCATATGAAGATTTTTTTGCAATGGATTTAAAGAATGATGGTACATTTGGGACTGATTTATTTAAAGATGATATGCTAACGCCTGAAGTAGAAGAAATCATAAAACCACCAGAAAATAAGATTTCAAAAATAGATCCTTCCTTGTTGGAGTTAGGAGCCCATAACGATCTTTGGGTACATCTGGAAACGAAAACGTCAGTTCAAGATTTAGTGGATGATTTATTAAATTCTAAAAATCAAAAACGTGGAGGTAGAGAATTGAAAAGATCTAAGTCGGAAGTAATGTCAAACAGCCCGTTGGTTGTTGGGGGACAAAGACATCATCAACGATCCTGTAGTTTAACTTGGAGTTGTAAGTTAGACAGTACATACGGTCCCAGTATAAAACGGAGAAAATTATCAAGAAACTCAAGTATGACAAAATCTAATGAGACAAGCGTAATGGTATTGGATTCGCAAAATGAACGTCCACCTACCTTGCATGAATTAAGAATTCCAGATGGTATTATGGTCACTGTAGGCAGAGCAAATACACCTAATATCTTATCTGATTCTGTAAGAGAATTGAAATATTGTATTGAAGATGCAAGTGGCATTAATCGCCGTGTACTCTCTACAAGTCGAGAAGAAGGGAAAGAGCATAAACGATTATTCTGGCATACAAGACAACAGCCGCGAATATTACAAGTTGATGGGACTGCAGATCCGAGTAGTGCTAGTGAATGCAGTTCACCAGAACATAATATTGAAGAAAAAACTGCAAGAGTACGTGTGCCAGAATCATTGTCCATCCCACAATTAGATGGCATCAACGACGAATCGTCTTGTGACAGTAATGAATTTAGTTCATCCGCTGAGAAAGATTCTAACTCCTATACAAAAACGTCCAATAATGTTTTACGATCAAAACGAATATATGGCTTTATTAGATCACACTTAGCCAAGAATAATGAGAAACTGCAAAAAAATAAAATTAATTTGTTTAAAGAAAATAATTTGAAGTTAAATTTAGAAATTCCACAATTAGATGGTGCCGATGATATTTCCAGCGATGATGAATGCATATCACCGCAATCTGTCGAATGTGAGAAAACCAATGTTACCTCTCAGTGTGATGCACCGCTTGATCACATAGATCAGCCTGTTACTTGCAAACGATGCCGTTGTACCTACAGAACGCAAGATAGTTACAATAGACACTTGACACACTGTGATATCATGATTACAAGTGACAGTGATTCGGAAACTATGGATAACAAATTGGCATCACCTGATTCTAGATTTTCTCCAAGCGTTGGTTCTGTGTCTCCACAATTTATAACACTATCACCTTCGGAAGGACACACTCTTTCTTCCGACTATCCAGACATACAAGCTACTTCTCCTTTAGAAGCTTCCGTACCATCTCCTCATCCAGCAATTCAAATTGAACCAATTGCACAAGCAATTATTACACCACAAATTCATACACATGCTACTGTGGAAACTGTGCATCAAACAGTATTAACATCTAATGATATGATTGTACAAACTCAGTACACTAGAACAACGACCACATTACCAAATGCTACAGTATTACCTCAGGAGAGTACTGTTCAAATAACAGAAATTACAGATCCACCATCTGTTACAAGTGATTCTAGTATTACACAGAATATTATTAACACACCAGTGAATTCTCCTGATGGCGCAAGTTCCCAAACCGTTCCAAGCCCACAAGTATCGCCGACATTTTCTTCAACCGGTGTACAAACTGCAAGTAATGAATCACAAGCGAATGTACAAGCAACAAAATTAGTAAAGTCAAAAAGTCCAAGAGCACCAAAGTCTCGAGCAAAAGGAGTTAAAACACAAATTGTAAAAAATACTGTACAGTCTCATAACGGACATCCTCGATTTCAACCGATGCAAAATAATGCTCCAGTTATACAACTGCAACAAGCTCAAAGAGCAAGTGGGCCAACTGTAATATTACAGCAAGTAGCGTCGCCTGGTATTATGTCTGCGTATGTGGAAACATTACAACAACAATCTGGACAAAATTTTCAGTATGTAACAACAATTGGTGGACAACATGAAGCAGCCTTTAAGCCACAGTTTATAACAACTAATCATTTAGTTCCTGGTGCATACATACAAGCACCATCTGATAATTTATTAGCATTACAGAATGGAGGTATATCAATATTACCAGGTGTACAAATTGCCCAAACGCAACCGACGGTTTTAGGAATTATACAGCAACAACCTAGTGCAATTCAGTGTGGAGTTATATCATCTGAGCAACTATTACTAAGTTCAACCCCAACTTTGGAAATGTTCACAGACTCGACAGGCAGTATGTTTCTTTCAAATCAACCAATGTATTATGGTTTAGAAACTATTGTGAGCAACACAGTGATGTCTTCCAGTCAGTTCATGACTGGCACAGTACCACAAGTGTTAGCAAGCAGTTACCAAACAACAACACAAGTTTTTCAAGCTTCTAAGCTTATGGAACCTATTGTGGATGTTCAGACCGTTCCAGGTGTTCCGACTGTAACAGCTGTGCAGGCGGTGCAAAATGTACCCGGAGTACCTGCGGTGCCCGGCGTACCTAATGTTGCTAATGTACCCAGTGTACCCAATGTTTCCAATGTACCCAATATAGCTAACATACCGAATGTATCCAGTGTACCAAATGTTCCCAATGTACCCACAATACCAACTATACCAACAGTTCCATCTGTATCCAATGTATCTAATATAGCAAACATAACAAATATACCCACTATATCCAATATACCAACAATACCCAAAGTACCCACTATACCTAACGCATCTAACGTATCTACTATACGCAACGTACCTAGTGTATCTAGTGTACCTAGTGCATCTACCGCACCTAGTACTCCTAACATACCTAGTGTACTTGGTGTACCCAATGTACCTACTGCACCCAGCATACCTGGTATACCTACAGTACCTAGTGTATCTAACATGTCCAATATACCTAGCACCCCTGCTTTACCTAGTACATCTAGTGTACCTAATATACCCACAGTACCTACCATTCAAAATGTATCGAATATTTCCACACTGCAATCCAATCTACAATCTGTAGGAAATGTTCCAAACATACCTGCAGTACCCACTGGATATGTGGTAGTAAATCAGTCAACGCCTGTAGCAGAACCCATTGTATCGCCACAAATTAATATATCTGCAACATCCGAACAACACTTTGCATCAGCCACATGCAGTACCATATTGCCTGTATCGTGCCAGAGTGCAGATCCAATGACATCAATGCAACCACTGGATACATGTCCATCTGAACCTCCAATTGTAACGAACGTGACATCATCGCCAAAGCTGTTGCAAAACTCGATACCAACAATACCAAGAGTAGCTGTACGCCCAAGTCCAGTTTCTAACTCGACACAGCTAAATAATGGACCATGGAAAATTACCGAACCACTATTTGGTTCAGAACAGATGATGAACAACTGTGTCCGACCGTATTTTGACTCAAAACATGTATCAGAGAATACCAGTATGATAAAGTCTAGCATATCATCTAAAATACTCCCCTTACCTAATCACTGTATAACTCAAAGGGATATAATTGTAAATAAGTTAAATCATGATGTAAATAATGTGCATAATAATTATATTAGTGCTGTACCGAATTCTAACAATATTAATATAAGTACAAGTAATAATCCAGTTATCACTAGTTCGACTGTACAAAATAAAATTACGATGTCTACAAGCAACGTACCGACGAGTCGACCGATGAATAGAGTATTACCTATGCAAGCCGTAACTCCGAAACAAGATACGATGAAAGTAACACCAAAAACCGAAATCATAGAGGAGCCGACAAAACCAGTGATTAAACCAGCAGAACCGGAACCAAAACAGGAACTGACGGAATCGAAAAAGCAAATCACCGAAGACATATTACCAACAGAGAAAAACACCGAAACGACTATAAACGATATAAATGAAGCTCTGAAGCTGAATACTGAAACCATTGAGAAAGTAAAGGAAAATATCAAGTTAGAACTGGATAAAGAGAAATTACAAAATGCCTCGTTAAAGATAGTATTACAGAAACAGCTACAAGATGGTTCTTATAAAATTACACACAACATGAAGACAGTTGCACAGAATAAAAAATCTCCGCAAGTAACATCTGTAGAAATATTACCATCAAAGCAAGTACCTCCTCAGATAGCCTCCTTGCAATTGCTACCAATAAAAACGTTCACATTGAAGGCAAACAAAATTGATGAGAAAGTGAAACCAATAGATAACAAGTTTAATCTATTGAAAACGAAAACTCCACCGGTTGCTGTCAAAAAGCCAAGAATTATAAGCAAATCGATTAAATCTGTTCCACCAAATTTGCAAAACACACAAACGCAAAAGTCTACCGTGAAAGGCCCTACACTAATGTATGAAATAAAATCGCAAGATGGATTTTCTCATACAGCTTCTTCAATGGCTGAAGTATGGGAGACCGTATTTCAAGCTGTTCAGAATGCTAGGAAGGCTCATAATTTACCACCGTTGCCTCACAATCCTCTTGTTGAAAATTTGGGACTGGAAAACAATGCCACGGTATATCTGGTGGAACAACTGTCAGACGTAAACAGATGTACTAAATACAAACCCAAGTTTCATAATCTAACACCACCTAAAACAGGGGACATGGAAAGTGATTTACCAAAGGCATGTGACAATGGTGCTGCCCGCGCAGAACCGTTCAATGGACGGAAAGTTCATGATATGTTTAGTTGGTTAGCGTCCAGACACAGGCAGCAACCGAAAATGATTGCTATTTCAGAAGCCGAGTCCAGGTAAAACTTAATTTATCAACAATAGAAAAAAGACAACATTAATAAGGTCTACCACGTATCTAACATTTTGTTCTTTTTACAGACGAGTGGCAAGTACAAACTTGCCAATGGCAATGCGGTTTAGAATACTTAAAGAAACGTCAAAGGAATCGGTTGGAGTTTACCATTCTCATATACATGGGAGAGGTTTGTTTTGCTTGAGAGATATTGAAGCCGGGGAGATGGTTATTGAATATGCCGGCGAGGTACATAAAATTACGAAAGAATTTCAAAAACTAATACAATGTTTCGTAATATGTTTATAATGATTATTATTTTGTAAATGTTACTAGGTGATTCGAGCCTCTTTGACCGACAAACGAGAAAAATATTATGACAGTAAAAATATTGGGTGTTATATGTTTAAAATCGACGATCATTTGGTTGTCGATGCTACAATGAAAGGAAATGCAGCAAGATTTATAAATCACTCGTGCGAGGTATGTATTTAATAATTGTTTATTTTCTTGCAATGTCCTAAATACTTTTATCACTAAAAGTTTTCTATTAGTAACTTTATCGAGTTGGAAAAAGTACAGTCTGTGCCAAATTTTTACTATCTCAACTGCTTTTTCCGAATATGCATGAAACTAGTTACAAAACATATAATATATTGGCTAATAATTTTAAATATAGATTAGATATACACGCATATTTTAATACACCATGTTATTAAACCTGCTTTTCAAATAATTCAGTATACAACGTTTGTTTGTATAATTTCAAGCTAAATCTTAGGAATACCTGAAGTTTTTTTTTCTCACCTAGACTTAAATAATATAAACAATTTAAAGATATTATTTTCGCTTTACTTAGAATGTAAGAAAAAGAACGAAAGGGTTTCTAACTATGAAATTGTATTACAGCCGAATTGTTACTCGCGAGTGGTGGACATCTTAGGTAAGAAGCACATTTTAATTTTCGCTCTCCGTCGCATTATCCAAGGAGAAGAGTTAACGTACGACTACAAATTTCCCTTCGAGGATATCAAGATTCCATGTACCTGCGGTTCCCGCAGATGTCGTAAATACCTCAATTGAGACTGCATATACAGCTACCGTAAGCAGCCGATAACCGCAGCAAACCACATGTGCTATAATTACTCGCGCTTCGGAATAGGATTCATTTTATTAAACGTTATTCATTTAATCATCAAACTATTTTCAGAGATTGCAGCTTTTTATTACTATAAAGGAAATAGATATACATTTAATGTGAACGAGAAAAAGAAAACAAAATGTTAGAGAGGCCAGATATAATACACGAGACATCGCGTTATGACAATGTTACTTTAAACGGCTACAATTCGTAGTTGATTTAAGGGGGTTTACTTATAGCAATAAATGATTGATCATGCCCTGCTTTCGTATCCAACGGGTCACGGCGCCGCATCGCACCGAGACTCATGAAAGTGTTACTTTTATCCACGCCTGTGCTTTCACGCACGTCTTCTAAACTCTACATATTATCTACTATTGAGGCTTAAATGTACAAGTTATCGTCACTTTACATTAAACCGAAATGCATTCCAACATATGATCGCATATGTAGGAACTATTTTATGTTTGCTCAGAAGCAAAATGTTTTACGTTATTTCTTACAAACCGCTGGTTTCTTTTAACCAACTACTATTTCATGGTAGCAAAGGTTGAGTCTAAAATCGGTACCCCATCCATTCTTTCCAAAATTCGCTTCATTTGCGAGCTGTATGTTCTTATTCTATTTAAATTCGCTTAGAATGTTTTATTAATTCTCGCAAACGTTTCCTTCCCGCGCGCACAGAAGTTAGAACTTTGTCAATTTTACCTACGATTGGACCAAAAGATGAAGAATGATGAAATTAAAAGAATAATTATATAGCAGAAAGTCGACGTACATGGGAAAGCCACTAACGTTTTCTATGACCGTTTCTTATTTCTACACGGAAACGTCGTAACAGTACACTTTCAATATGTGTTAATTGTAAAAAGAAAACGGTCATCGTAAACGAATCGCGAAATCGCGGGTTGGACTTTAGCGTAAAGTGACGATAGGTTTCATGACATTTCATGTCCGCTGTAGGGCCAGATTTCAAATGTTCTTGTAAAATATGTAATTGTTAGATTAGACATTGTCTTGATGTAAGTATAGATACCAGTTTAAGTTAAAGAAAATATAGTCGTTAAGGAAAAATGCGCGCGCGCGTGAGAGGGGGGGGGTAGAATGGCAAGATGAGACAGTCTCCTGGTGTAGGATACTGTTGGAAGGTGTACCTACTTTGGCAGACATTGATGATATTTTTTAAGTCTTATTGTATTTAAAGCAAATATGAAAACAGAAAACACGAACGGGAAACGAAAACTTGCTTCCTGACAAAATTAAAAGTCTGTTCGTTCCTTTCCATTCATTAGTTTTGGGACGTAGCGCTGTAATAAATTTTAGAATAGGCCGACTGCCGTAATATCCCGATGCAACACAACGTCATACGTGTAGTCCGGAGGCATTATCTCATCCGCGTTCAGCAAAAGAAAATTCTCATCCCGCGGTACTCCAGGGTTGCTATTATGCTTGAGAAACGCCTGACGATGGTACACGCGGAGAAGCAATCGCCTCAACGGTCTTTCTGAAATTTGAACGCAATAGATTTGCTCTGAGGACGATATAATCCATTTCATTACACCTCGTTAGTTTCATGATAGCAGGCAGATGCACGACACCATCAAGTTGCAATATTCCAATTGCACTTATGATGCGCTTTACAGGCTCGGGCATTATTGTAATAGAGCGGCGCACTTCAGCAAGTATCTGATGCATAGTCTCTCTTATACATCCATAAATTTCATTTTACTAGTGCGGGAGATACTCTAAACATCGATTAGACATTTTGAACGATTATCCTTGCGATCCTTGCAATTAACAGGAGTAGTATTTCTATTCTTCGAGTATAGTCTATAGCAATTATGGACATTAAAGTTAGCTTTCTTCGAGTCTATCAAGTACAGATTTTAAGCTGGAAAGTCCAGCAGCTTAATTGTCTTGGACAGTATCTTCGTTCTTTTTATTTTGATGTTCTTCCATGCGTTGTTTAGTGTGTGGTTTCCGCAATTTAGAGCCAGCAGTAAAACGTCCACGCCCGAACCAATAGGGGTGTACACGTGCATCTGCTTGTACATGATAATAGGAGGACTTTGGAACTGAATCAATATAATACCCTAAAATTGCTTCGTTCCTTTCAAATGGAGAATTACGTACGCGCAATATTATTTTGATATGTTCTTTTTTTAATAGATTTTTAAACATTGCACCCATGCGTTTGTGCTTCCGCCTTGCCAATAATACAATATTAATCTCATTACTTTATTTTTATATTTAAAGAAAGCCGCTAGAGAGAAGAAAATGAAGTTTGAGAGGGAGAAAGAGAGAGAGAGAGAGAGAGAGAGAGGGAAAAATGTTTTTATTTTACAGAAACTCAATGGAACCGCTATAAATTGAATAAGATCGTTGAAACGAGGTTTCTGTCCAAAAGATATGATACAAAAATAAATTTTATGAATTGTAAAAAAAGAAACGAAAAGTATCGAATTACGTTGACAAAATGTATGGAAAATGATTAGATCATTGTTTCGATGAAACTTTTCTAGAGCACGCGCCTAGAAAATGTTTGTGATATTTTCCCACACTGGGAAAAATTATAAATGTTCTTTATAGGAATATATTTCAGACTTTACGGATATTACGTGTTCCGTAAGTAAAGAAAAGAAAAGAATAGAAAAGACGAAGAAGAAAACACCTTTCTGTGAAATGCAGTTTTGCCTTACCTTTAAATGTACCTACGCTTTAACCCGGTGATAGATTTTAGATGTACCCCGATGACTTATATTCAAACTGAAGACAAACTGTAATTGCGTCTATGCATCGATTAAGCTATGATAAAGTATTTTAGTCCGATTAATCAATTTCTGCCGAGGTGGTTGTCCCTTAAAATTTGGTGCTCCGTGGACACCGTTAAGTGCACTTTACAATGAAAAAATGGCCTAGAGTAAGAGATAGTAGACGGCAGCGAAAGAGTTCGATAATAATAAGAAATGCGTTATACGAAGAATATTGATCGCGGATTATTTAAAGAGGTAATATAAAGAATAAATGATGGCAGGAACATTATTTGAGCACGCGAGCAACGTTCGTCGGTCGTGCGACAATTTTAATCGGCCTGGTTTGGTACAAAATGCATATGCTGATTTGTAAAAAGTTATTGTGAAAAGGAAAAAATACGAAGGGGGGATAAAAAAAAGTAATGGAAACTTGTTCTGGTCACGAGAAATTGCCATTTTCTTTAGGTACTTTGAATCTTCTTTCTTTCTTTCTTTCTTTTCTAATATTACGATTACCAATAATTAAGTAACTATTATTGGAAAATGAATATTGTTAATATAATGATAATTAATTTTAATCTGTATAAAAGCAAAAGGTAATAATGACATATAAGAAAAAAGGTAATTTACTTGAAAATATAATAGCAATGTTAGATATTTTATTGATATTTATTACTTATGAGTGACGGTTCTAGGGTTGACGAGAGAAAAATACTAATTAAATTAAATACAAAAAATGATTTAGAACATGGTGCACACGATGGTCTAATATTGTTGAGACGAATTAACGAACGTCGGCTTTTGCCTTTTTTAAAGCGAGGAAGAAAAAAACTGAGAGCATCCCCTTTCTGCTCGATGAACGCATTATATTCTCATCATTGTTATATCACCACCAGTTTAATGGGGATTATGAAATATATGATGTATTTGATGTATATACTTTATACTCCCATCGCAGATTAATATCCGTGGTGATTGTAACAATAGTCTGAACTGAGTGTATTTACATGTGTCCGTAAGCGAATTAGGTATACCGTTTCGTCATTATTTTTTTATTTATACGAAGAACACAACAAGCACGTGAAAATGTTCTATGCTCTGGAAAGGATACGTGTCAGTTTTTTCAGCTGTATAGAAACCACGCATACGTTTTTAATCTACACTTTCGCCCGAGAAATTTCAAAAGTAAGTCTGTCGAACGCTTTTTAAAAACGTACTCCGTATCTTTTTCGAATACGATCCCCTAACTCGCGGAGCCTATACGAGCTCCTTAGTATTACGCATTCAGCCTTCATTATTATCATTATTATTATTATTACAATTAATTATAATCTATACGAGAAGATAGCATAATACATCACCACTCATACTTGTGCACCGTTTGTTTACTACACCCATCTGCGCACCATCCTTTTTTTCTTAGACAGGGGGAGAGGGAGAGAGAGAGAGAGAGAGAAAAGAAAAAAAAACCCGAAAAAACGTGATTCGTGTGTGAGAAAGAGCAAAAAAATAATAATTATCGACGTTAGAGAAATATACAAGTGTAACGACTTCAAACTTCGATCATGTATATGTATACCTCGAGATAAATTTGTTTTAGATAATGGAAGTGTTTAGACATCTAACTAGTTTGGTGTGATAAATGAAATGAGTGGTTATAAGTTATTCCACGGAACTGTACGGTGCTCGTTATTACTTCGTATTACGATTTCAGAGCATCGCAGCGTTGCGTCCTCTTTTATCCCAAGAGCTTCATGTCTTCAAGGTTCTTTCGGTTCTCCGTTTCATTCGTAATAAACGATTTTAAGGAATTAAGAATTTCAAACAATGTAAAACGCTTTTTAACAAAGAAATGGAACACGTACACACATACATGTATAAAAACAAAAGGAACACTCCTATTCTAATGTTTAAAGGAAACGTAGAATTTTGAATATTGTACTTATTTAAATATGGAGGGGAAAAAAAAAATAATAATACTATTGATAAATTTAATGAAGAAAAAAATGGTATGAAAAGAAAATTGAAAAAATTGTCTGTGATTATCAGTCATAATAATCTTTAGGTCGACATATTTTTTAGAGAATATTTTTTAGCAAATTACAAAATTTATGATATACTCCTATTATTGATATGATATTGGATCGGACACGCTACGCATAATATTTAAAAATGAGAAAAGACGAAAAAAAAGAACATGAGAAACAAAGAATAAAAATTTGAAACTGTAAAAGTTGCAAACTGTTTAATAGAATTATACATAGTTGAGATCGATGGCTGTTGTAAAATATTCTGTGTTTGGACAAATAATTATTGAAACTATTTATAATAACTACTAACGAGGTACGATTATATATTATTATATCGCATACCGTATAGTAGCGTTTTTATCTATTTTGCGTTCGCATAATTCATCCAAATAGATTAAAATGAGAAAACGAAAGAGAGGGAGAGAGTGTGAGAGAGAATCGACGATGAACTCGTACCGAGAGTTGCGCACGGTGTACAGGACGGGGAAAAAAACTCAGAAGAAAATCATATGACGAATGTAAAAAAAAGAAAAAAAAAAATAAAACCGAAGAGACGCTGCGGGCAAATGGGACGTACATACTGTACGTGTTCAGCGTGTAAAGTGTCGTTATAAATCTATCTACTTATTGTAGGAAACTTATGAAGTAATTGTAATAATTACATTAACCAGATGATATGCGTACCGCATAGAAGACACATAACCGCTTTCATTTCACACACCACAACACACCTACACACCGACATCGGTCTACGTACATACATACATAATAATACAGAAAGAGTAGGCACACTATATACACACAAACACACATACACAACCGTACGCTCATGTTTTGTATTTAAATGTTTTGTTAGTATTATATGAGAAATTAACAAAATAAAAACACAAATGGAAATATCATATTTCCCATGCTGTGTGTAAAAAGTATCCCATAATAATAATATACAAGGTGTCCCACGTATCTAGGACAAAATGTGTTTTCAAAGCCGTTCAAGCTTGAAAAAAGAAACGAACTTCATGAGTAAAAATTGAAGATGACGTTGGATCATCCATATTACGATCAAATACTTTTTCGTAGCGACGCAGCTAGAAGATGCATTTCTGGATAATACACCATCCTATTTGAAATACGCTGTTTCGTACACAGCTTCTTCTTACATTGTATAAAATATATTATCGTCGCACCTTATTGACTCCAAGGTTTTTACTCGAGGAAAGAAAGTAAGAAGATATCTTGCGTGTACACTGATTCCTAGTTGCGTTCCATCAAGAAAAATTCAATCGCTGTTTTCCTCGTATAAACTCGACACGAGACTTTCCCGGTTCATTTATCACCGATTACAATTACAAGTTTCCGCGAAGTCGCCGACAAGCAGAGGCAAATAAAGACCTTCGACGAAAATCGTTTCACAGAAGGGACGCGACCACGCCTCGGAAAAGTTTACCATCAAAAATTGCCCGTCGGTGGAATCAAATTACTAAAAAAAAAAGCATTTGAAGTAATTTGATTGAACGGGACTCTCACGTTTGCGCAATATTTTTCAGCTGCATCGGTACCTAGAAACGCGCGAAAGTATGATAGAAGTAGATACAAGACGCCCACTGTGAACCTCGACTTGCAATCTTTATCTATTTCTAAGCATTTTACAATGTGGCGCACCTCGGTTACATGGGACACTTCTGTGTATACTAAACGGAGCCGGGCGTCCGTGTTCCCGCGATCGTCGCGAAAACGGATTTACGCATCGAATTGAAACGTTTTAACGAATAAGAGCGACTACGGGACTCCCCTACGCGTTACTGATTCATTTCGAATATTGTCAGCGCGCAATTAGTTTAAAGCATAAAACGGCAATCTTATCTGCCTTTGTCCGTTCCCACAAGCGACCGCTCGGACCAAGTACCATATTGTAAACGACGATGCCCACTTGTTCATTGTAACAGAGCGGCGTATGCGTTGTAGGTCATGTTTTTTCCACGTGTGAGAATCCTTTATTTTTTTTGTTCACGTGCGTATTCGGTTGAACGCGCGACGATGACTCATACGCGTTGCTCTCGGATGTTGTTACACGCGTAAACTTGACGAGAAGAAGGAAAAGAGATTGTTTTTTCGTCGAAAGTGGAATACACGCGCACGCTCGCGCGGCGGTTTCGCTGGGAATCGAAGTGAGGACATGAAAATTCGATTGTATCTGTTACAAGAGTTTTTATTCCCATCTTTTTTTTCCTCTCCGAAAACGATGGAACGGACGTGCGCAAAAAAGAAGAATTCGATTCTGTGATGTTTCTAGAGAAAGTACGGCAACCGGGTGTACGGTGTAAATACCAGTAAACCACCGGGAAACGTATAAATCTGTCTGTAGGAGCAATAAGTAGTCACGGATGCGCTGCGACAACTAATAATAATAATAATAATCAATTGGCATTAGACGGTGATGTATCACTTCGGTGAAATGTAACGTTGGGATAAGATACGGCGGAAACCGTAGAGGCAAAGTATGTTGTAACGATAGGCATATACATTTATTATCGTTATTTTCGCGTGTGTTACTGAATGCACAGTCCTTCCACGAACTATCTTGATCGTATTATTAAAATGAATGTAGCATTATCAAATATTACTAGATGATGTAGATAAAATGTAAATATGATAACATTGTATCGCTTAACAAATGAAATTTTATTAATACATTCGTTTGTTTCGTATTTAAAATGGAAACGAGGCTATATTCTGACTCACCCAGACGTGCGGATGCGTTCTCAGTCGGAGACTTTTAAAACAGGGGAGAGGCATGGATAAAATAGATTTGTTTCATGACATCACTTCGTTTAGAATCTAAAAGATGATTCTAAATTGTAGAATCTACAAAAAAATGTACATATGCAATGACTGGCAACAGTATACCTAGACGTATAACGCTAATCGTATTAAGAAACCGATCAGAATATAAATTTTTCAATCACATGCGTTGGTTTATTACAATTAAAAATTGAATTTAATAAACAGAACATAATGTTTTAAAGAAGTAAACAAAATTATGTTTAGTTTTTTTAGTACTTTCGATTTGTAAATATCCGACTTTGTATTCTGGTTATCTTCTTTTAAAATAATCTGTATCGACAAATTCTTTCCAATTTTGTTATGGTGACTTGTTAAATTGGGTAAAAGTAAATTATTCTGAAAAATATTTGCAGAATACCATCTACACTTCATGCCATTAGGATTCGTTCTAACTAAATTTAGGAAGTCTAAGAAGTCCAATACATTTCTGTGAAACAACATCGACACAAAAGTAAAGTTCCCCACAATTTCATAGTTTGTTTAATTCTAAACATATGTACAATACATGTATATGAATCGTTTCATTCATCTTCCACCTGATCCAACCTAATTTATCTTTGTTTTATCCATCTAACCATGTAATTAACACTTATACTACTATTATATTCCGTAAGACAATGTTTTCGTAACTTGAAATATTTAACGCAAAGTGTTGGATTCTGTTTTATCTATTTCTGAACCAATTATTCCATTTTACGGATTTTGGAATTTTCAAATATTTTAATCACATACCGTATCAAATTTCTTTCACCTCAGTCGAAAGCAAATTCAAATTGTGGCCTCCCATTTCTTGTTGACTCATTTCACACTTTCCTGTAATCTGTCGTAGAGGCATACATTTTTTACGCAAACAAACGATAAGTTTCTTTTTATCTTTAGTGAGTGACATTTTATATTTTTCATTTCAAACAATTTTATAAGTTGAGAAATTGTTTTTGAGCATGTCCAAAATCTACCAAAAACATATTCTACAATCATAAGCATATTGTAATTATTCACTTCTTTATTCTCTCGTACGACACATACAAAATTATATACATAGTGGATCAAGTACCTATTTTCTTTAATCGTCTGTATGTTGTCAGTATACGTGAAAATGAAGTATAATAGTCTATTTTTGATTCAGCTTGTAATTGTCGTTAATTATCATACAATGAAGTGAACAATTTATGATATTGTTTTCCTTCTTAATTTCAATATCACGTCTTTATGCTTTAATGCTTCGTAATATAATGTTGTTATAAATATTACGAAAATTTTCTTATAGATCTCCTTTATTCCAGTTTTATTATTTGCAGACTTTTCACACGATTGGCAATATTTGCAAGATCAATTGCAAAATCGACATTTTTACTTATTTCTTTATTTACGTTAGTAATAATTGCCATTATAATCTTAATAAAAAATAACTCAAGCAACTACATTTCGTTTGAAATTAAAATTAATACAATGTTTTAAAGTCTTACTTAATTATTAAGCTTGCGGAAGATAATTTGAGATAATCCTGCTATCGTATTCACCTTTTTCAAAAATATATTCAAAAAAATGTTAATGACTAAAGATGAGTTTTCATCATGCTGAGGAAGGGGATAAAACATAAAAATTTCTACGAAGAGTTTCATAAAAATCCAAATAATAAATAATGATACTTAATATGTAACTAGAGAGACAATGAAAGTCTGTTTCATATGAAATCTCGTTAAATTCCTAGTTTGTAAATATTTAGTGGGTTTTTAACTAGGTATAATGTTTGTATTTTATTTGATTTCATTATGTACTCTTGAAAAATCGCCTCTCCACATCGCTGCTCTCAAACGTTTCCATAGAACAGTGAATAACCTACTCGTTCTCACGTACGAACGCTTAAGAAGCATGGTTATCCTACCCTTCTCTTTTTACTTACAGCTTCGAGAAAGCCCATGCGTTAAGCTGTGTACATATTAAGTGATTCATGTTGCGTGGCTTGTTCTCTGACAGTGCTTTGAAACAAGTCGCTAATACACTTGCTGATCTAGCAATAACAATATGAGGAGATAGCAGAAACAGTGGGGTTATAAAAAGAATTTTAGGCCTGAAAAGTAATAAAGCGCATCGTGACAGTAGACAGCTAATATTAGATGCTAAACTGCTCCCTTGAACCTTATTTCACTTATGTATCCGTTCTAATTATTTTTGGGACACTACAACGCAGAAATTCTAAGCCGGGGCTCAAAGAAAGTCCGGAAGAGGAGGTTATGAACCTGCTTAGTCTACTACTTCTCTGTGCCAACCTCCGATCCTATCTTCAAATCACGACCTAATTGTCATCACTGTTTCATAATCTTTCGAGCTTTGCATCTACTACTTTAATCCTTTTAGCGCTGAGTAAAAAAGTTGTGTGTACCTGAGCGAAAAATAACGAACCTGGTTGATGTGGTTTGATAGAGTTTTAGAAAGAAGTTACACCAATTTCGTAAGATCTGATAATCATAAAATTCAGAAACTAACAGAAATTAAGAAATACAACGAACATTTTACAGACAAGAAAAAATGATGAGTCCACTATTTTAGCAATTATTTATTGTAATATGAAAATTGCTCTAAATTATCATATGGTAATCCTGAACATCGCCTCAGAGTCGCCATGCGAGTGTAAAGGGTTAATGCCTTCGCAATCTTTAAAACACATGTACGTATTCTCCTGAATCTCTATTCTCAATACATCGATATTTCAGATGATCATAACGACTTAAAGTATTACTCTCCGTATACTAGATAGGGGAACACGCGGCGCCATAAAATCGCCTATCAATTTTTGTCGGTCGAACAGCCGCGGACCCTGTTCCTGGAGAAATATTACGCGATACGTGCTCTAGTGTGTACATAGCTTAACAGGCGGACATTCGCCGCTCTTTTGCTTCTCTATCTTTGTTCTTGGAGTAACATCAAAGTACGGTTCCTACTACCTCGTCACCGCGTGTTCTCGGCAACGAGGGTTCGCTGGCTCCAATCACCTAACCCTTTTCCTCTTTTACCAGTACCACCACCACCACCACCATCGCCATCTATTCCACCTCCT